CCCCCCGCCGAGGTAAACTGCATTAACCTTGACGACAGTTATTAAAAAGATATATTTACAGGGCCTGCCGCCCCGCGACCCCCACAGCACCTCATCGTCCTCCGCTCTTTATTCTCGCTCTCTGGAGTATCCGCCACGCACAGAGCAAACTAACGCCGACCCCAACATAAATGTTTTTTTTTTATGTCGTGTGTCACATTGCCGGCTGAGGGCTCACAGATGATGCATGCCGGTAAATAAGGCAGCGGTTGGGGGTGGGGGGTTGTTCAGTTCCCACCTTCAGGCTTCCTGAAAATTGACTGCATGCTAGATTCTCAAAATGAGCCCCTAATGTTAGCATGACAAATGGTGCCCCCGGAATGCTGCCCTGTGTCACCAGGAAGGATTAATTACCACCCCACCCCCCACCAGCCATGGTAAGAATCGGATAAAAACATAAACAATTCCATTCCACCTGTTTTTCCTGCTCTATGCAGGACTAAATTAATGTCAAAATATGTAATGTGAGTCCTGGGCAATTATTGAATTGTTGAATTAATTTGCATCGATGGATATACATTTTCAAGTGTCCCCTGCTTTGCAAACGTGTCCTTTTCTCCACTTCACTCTTACAAAAGACCCACAATAGCACCACTGTTCACTAACCGAAAAATGAAAAAAAGCAGAAATAGCATTTGTTTATCAACAAGCTAATTCTAGCTATACAATCATACATCACATAACAATGTTTTGGATACAGATCACCTACATGATGGTGGTCCCATAAGCCTAGCGATGTCGTAGCAGTCGTGATGTCATAGCCCAGTGCATTACTCACGTGTTTGTGGTGATACTGGTGTAAACAAACTATGACACTGCTTTATGTATTTACTATACTGTACATTTTATTGTCATTTAGGCTAGACCCTATAGCCTAGGTGTGTAGTAGACTATCCCATTTAAGTTTTATGTACTATTTGGTATGATTTGATAAGTTTTTTTTAGAACTCTGGGAACACAATATTTCCCCATGTAAATGAATGGTAATTGGTTCTTTTCTTTACACCAGCAGCGGCCAATCTTATCTGCAAAGGCCCAGTGCATATGCATATACATATGTGTGTGTGTATATATGTATATATATATGGATATGTGTGTGTGTATGTATATATATATATATATATATATATATATATATATATATATATATATATATATATATACACACACACACACACACAGCTATAACATACATATACAGCTATAATGCACACATACGTACTCGTGCGACGGGCAGCTTCAACTAGAAGCTTTTCTTTTGCCAAATGGCCCCAAATAGGATTTATTGAAAGCAGTACTGAATAAAAGCAGAAAAGAAGGGAAAAGAATCATCTGCAAGCTTTGATTCTGCAGAACTGACGCATCATTAAGCTGACAGAGGAGCTGGCTCTCTTCTTCTATGCTACATGGAAGGTTCCGGAAGGTACCGGTCGCACAGATAAATAAATGAACGCGTGCCTGTCTTTTTTTGAGGGTGGTGAACTGTTTCAATGGGAGCTAATAAACACACAGAGCAGGCTCTGGCGGGCTCACATGTGTTGGCCCTGGCGAAGGGGTGTGGGGGCCAATGAGCAATGGCTGACTGTGGCTCCCCCATCTGCAAAGTAGCAACGTGGTCAAAACGTGGCCCCCCATCACTCCCTAAATTTATGCTCGGCACCCAGCTCAATCAAGTGAAGTGTGCAGTGGGGACAAGGGAGAGGCTTGGGATTAGCAAGCAGAGCGCTAACCTGCATATGCTAACCGCTCTGGGAAATGATGAGGGGGGCAAGCCTTAATCTGTGTCATTAAGGGGAAGGACACACTTCCAGACTCCAGCATGTGACCACAACAAAACCAGCACTGCTGCTCCCAGCTGGGATTTCGGGATTTAAGGCATGGGCTGCTTAGCTGTTTACACCCAGGCTAACATCGCTATGGCTAACATTGCCTTAGTCTTAGCTAAACGCGTCTTAGCGCAATGCTAACTTCACGTCATGAATACTCATTGCTAGATGTGTCTTGGCACAATACTAACTCAACGCGATGCGCAAAGGACAGAAGAAATAGCCAGTGTATGTTTCATGCTCCCATTTTACATATAATTCTATGAATCTTATGTATAACATGCGGAACGCCAAGGCCGCGTACCTTGCGGGTACCTACATGCCTCCACTGCCTATTACTTATTTGGATTTTTAAAATTAAATGTAAAAATCCCTTTAGACAACAGCTGCATCCCATCAGCCTCTAGGGCTCACAGAGGTCTAATGTGGTGTTGGAAATGGACGGCCTACAAAGGCCATTCGCGGACGTCCCTGTGTCATGCTGTCACCTGGACTGCCCCCCGACTCCCCTCGAACAGAGCTGCTTGCCGCTCTGCCACCCAGCCAGACCCTAAAGTAATGTAGGGGATGAATTTGACCTCAGGAAAGGCAAGAAGGGATGGGGGGAGGGGGGGGCTTTAAATGTCGGCTCCCGTGAGACAGGAGATTATCAGACGGCGTAAATCCCAGAATACCTTCAGAACAAGGCCTGAGTTTACAAGGACGTTGGCAGCAATAATCCTGCCATGTTCCGGTGCAGTTTTGCGGTGATTACAAGGTGGCGCTGTTACAGGTACCGCAGTGCGGTACTACCCCAGACGCCGGTTCAAGGACACGGCACAGAAGAGGTTCTGTCGAGAAACAGCCAGCGGGATACTTCATACCTGCCGCCAAGCCCAGAGACCATGCATCCTCTTCATGACACACTGGCACACTGGCAGGAATGTATAAACGAGTCAGATGACAAACGCAGATGATGTGCTCAGGACGGCCAGGTGCAGGTGGACGGTCACGCTATTCCGGGAGGTTCTCTGACACCTTTTATCAGGTGTTTATGTGACACACTCCTCTGTCTGGTACTGACTTTCAGAGGATCTGCAGTAACTTCAGGAGGCCTGTATGCCTGTAAGTGAGCGAATTAGACATTTCCAGGATGTTCTCATTAGACGGCAGAGCTGTAACATCGTTTTCCTATCAATGCGACCCGACAGCCTTTCCTCAGCGGCGAGGAGGCATACCAGCCTGATAAATCGGCGAGCGCTTCTCTGCCAACGCCCGGGTTGCGAATTCCCAGGGTCTTATTGACACAAGAAGGAACCTGCCACATAATTAGCGGCAGGCAGCTTTAGCGCATGTCTCCTTGAGAGTTTGACCCTATTTGTTTGCTCAGAGGTAATTTCATTTCACAGTCGATTCCCGGGAGTTTTCCGAGCTAATGCTAAACGTTCACATGAGACGGGATGAGCGCTTGGCAGAGGATCCCAGATTAAAAATAGAGCTGATGATGTTCAACTCACGTTGGGAAAATGTCACACAGGCGTGCAGGGGTCGGACGTGCGCTACTCACCACCTGTGGGGCCAAACGATGTGCAGGGGTCTTTGCTGGCTGGCGGTGTCATCACACTCCTCCTCGACCTGGCAGTGTGAGGTGTTGCTCTGCTTCCCTCCCCCCTCTGTAGGGGGCGCTACACTTTCTCGTCTCTGGTAATTTTCTTCTGGGGACTGGGGCACGCCGGTATGTTGTGGACTTGGGGCCCCATGCTCAGAATCAGGTCCAGGGGATGCTCTCGGCATCGTGTTCTGGGCTAGTCCCTCGGCAGAATGGGGGCAATCTCCAGGGGGCCCCAGTTCCTGGGGGCCGACGGGGCCCACCACTCCTGCGCAGCGAGCACGCTTATGCTCGGGAAGCAACCTGGAAAATGGAGAAACCAGGAGAGCTGAGCTGCGGGCTACGGAACGGCATCCCACTCTGACCGGAGACAAAACGGGCAATGCCGGGGGGCGAGTAGAGTACTAATGAGAATGCCCAAACAGTCCATGTAGCGTCGAGCTCCTTCATCCATTATTGGCTTTAAAGAGTCTTCATTAAAGAGGCTGGGAATGTTACCTATAAGTGCTGTTATGACAGGCTTTTAAAAGTCTAATTTCCCAGAATAATTACTGGATTTCTCTTTGTCACTCACTTGGCTGATGATAATTTCACTCCCACCACTTCACCGAGGCCGTCATACAACAATACGCCCTCACTTCCCCGTGATATTAAAATTTCAATTTCTGATATTTTGGTCACTCTGTCATTTGAAATAATAACATCCGGGTGAAGTGGCAGTTAGTCCCTTTATTATTTGGATATTACCATCCACGGCGGCGGCCCTTTCACCCACATGAAATCTCAACGACAGGAGAGGGAACGAGAAATAAGAGCCGGCGTGACGCCGTGCTTAACGTTTCCTGTAAAAACACATAGAGACTGTCAAACCCCATGTGACCCGCCGGCACCGAAGCTCGTGCTAATGAAGGCCATGCTGATGACCATCAGAACGCCAGCGGGGAGCTGTTAGACCTTCCAGAACAATCTAGAATGTTCTGGATATAAAAGTGACACGACGTTAGCACAGACACAGTGAGGTTAGCCAAGGTCCTGTATCAGCTGAGTCAGGCCTGAAGGTGGCGTAGCGGTTAAATCATTAACTAAGTGAGCAGACAAAATCATGACAGCATTTTAATTGCCACGCAATAGGTCTGCAAGCTGCTGTGGGGGCGAGTATGTAAATCTCTGTCCTCGTTCCCCGTCAGCCGTCACCTGTGGCATGATACCTTAGGTTAGGTTGTAGGATGCACCCAAACTGATTCCCAGATACACAGTTTCTTTCCATCGAAAACCATTTAAAAACCATCACGAGACGGCACCGCGATAAGAGAGGGGGCTGCTGTACTTACTCCGCCGGCCCTTATCAGAATGTCATCTGCTCTAACGGTAAGAGCGGAGAGGCCCAGCAAACCTTTTTCCATCGCATCTGAGGTGAAAAAACGAAGAAAAGAAACGGCCAGAACGAAGCGTATCCCAGTGCTTTTTAGCTTTAAGTATTTTACAAGAAAAATGCTTCCAAATGTCTGTATGAAGGTTTCCAAGCCGCACCAAAGGAGCGCCGTGGTAATGTTATGCTTCTTCGCCCAGTCTCCATCGTGATAGCCTCACTTCACTGCAATTGCATCAGAAACTTGGTTTTAAGTCTCACTATGACATAGTGGGCTATTTAGAGTGCCCGCCCAAGCTGAATGTATTTTTACGTTGGAGGAAAAACGTATTTGCAGTCATTTTTCCAGGTCTGTTTTATGGTGACTTCAGGGCAAACTCAACACCTCTCAGCCCCACGTGAGCACATACAAGTGAACCAGGCACAAGAGAGTAATTGTGATTACCAGCTCTCGTTTTTTTTTCCGTTACCTGAGGAAAACTTAACAGGTCGGCTTTGGGGAAGCTGGAAATGTGTGGGCTTGATTCAAGGCCCTCCACAGGTGAACGGTTGTTTCTACACATTGATAAAATCCGTTTACATAATTCCATTGCGTATGGTAGTGAGATAAGGCTTTGTTTTCCATAGTTAAAGGCAAAGAGTTTAATTTACAATCAGGCAGATACCACAGACAGCCCATCAAGAGCCGCAAATCACCAGAATGACAATACCGACTTTGACAGGCTACCCCCAGTCTGTCTGGCTGCATCATCTACTGGAGATTAAAAATTACTATCATAAAACACACATTCCCTGAAAGTAATCCCCCTGCCCCCCCCCCTCAGAAAAGAAGGAGAAAAATATATCTTCACCAAAGCTGTGCTTCTAGTTATGTCAGACAGTATTTTAAATAGTTCTAATCATATACCTTTGTGGACACTTAATTAAAATTACAAAACCAATTTTAATTTGTAGTCCAATTAATATGCAAATATATGCAAATGCGGTAAAACAAGGTGGTGATTAAGTTAAGGACACTCCATTTCATATCTCCTTTAAGTGTGAAAACAAACTATCTTTTCACTCCGCCGTTGCCCTGATGGATTGTGGTGTTTATGGGAGATCTCCGCTTCTGCGGATGGTGAGCGGCGTCCAGGTGACGGGCACGGTGGTGCGGCCAGGCCTTCCCGGCACACGCACGTCCGTGGCAAAGCCGGCTAAGGTCACCGCAAAGTGAAATCTGCCGGGTTGCCATTTAGAGGCTGTTTAAAATGCAAGGCTTACTTTGGCAGGCTTGAGGTGAGAGTGACAATTGTAAAGAGAAGGGCCATTTCTAATTAGGCCTTGGAGATAGCCTTTCAATGTCATCTCTGCAAGGAGGCCCGCCCCGGCCCAACCGCAGCAGGTAATGATTAAGATTGAAATCAAATAACTTTTGGTTGCGGGGAGAAGAAAAAGCAAATTACCAAGAAAGAAAAAACACTTTATAAAGATCAAAATGAATGGAGCCCATTCTGGCTGGTATTTAAAAAACTCCTGATTATTTCATACTTTAATCACCACATTCCAGCCGCCACGTCCATTTCCCGCCGATGTGGACGCGCTGCAGATTTTACGAGAGTTAAACACAGGCACCGCATACGGTACGTCTCCAGTTCTAAACGGACAGTTCCAGAAAAAGAGCTTAATTAGATAAATTGCTGTCAGAGCTGCCAAAACAATTCACCGTGCACAGAGACGTACGGAGGCCGGTCCGGAGCGGCTAATCAGGCCCCGCAGCCGCTCGCCGCTGCCACACGCTCAGCCCCGCCCCCTCCGAGGCCGCTGAGGTGCTGTAATTGCAGGCCCACGCGGTGGATCCCACCCAATTAGCTTCGCCGGACCCAGGATCCATGCTTGCTTACTTATTCCTATTATTTTTCTCAGCAGACCATAACAAAGGCAAACGTTCAAAACAGGGCATCACGTCTTAAAACTTACCAACCGCATCCCAGAGCATTCTACTGGGGGGGGGGGGGGGGGGGTGATGGCTTTTCCATGCCGCTCCTGAGCGGGGGCGCCGGCGGCCCGTCGGACCGTAATCGGGTCCGGAGCTGGGTTTTTTGAGATCTCACCTCTCCATAATACGCCGGGGGGCAAGGGGAGGGGGGGGCGCTCAGCGGGGCTTCTGAAGTCACAGAAGAGGCTGCGTTTATTGGTGTTCTGGTCGCCGTGGGAACGTCTAGGCTGTGACAGACCCCCGCCCCATGGCTAAAGCCCCCACCAGACCACACAGCCCGCTAATGCTGTGGGGTTTGGTGGGGGGGGGGTGGGGAGTCCAGGTGGCCAGCACCCACTGGCACAGAAGGGCTCAGACTGAGCGGGACCACAGAGGTGTGACTCGGATTTACAGGAATAACAGGAGTGGAATACGCACCGCAGTCGGGGGGGGGGGGCGGGGGGTCCGTAAAAAGAAAGGAAGAGGATCCCAGATGGCAGCCGCGTTCTCTTCAGAAGTCGGCAAGCCAAAATATCCGGGAGTTCAGACGTGCAGAACGCAGGCTATCGGAAGTTGCCAGAACTCCGGTTGTGTGAAAGACGAGTGTTTGGGGAGTCACAGCTGACAGATTATGGGAGTTCACACGACACACATGCCGACAGCGCTCTGGTGGAGAGAGAAGCCATGAAATTTGCCGAAAAGACACCGGCCGACGGAAACGGCTCCACCAGCAAACCACCCCAGTAACCAGCGGCAGCTCTCTGCAAGGCTGAGTGCGGCACACAGACGACGAGCACCAGGCCGGATCCGACGGTTCAGCTGGCACCCTATAATCGCATCGCCACATTTTTCTGGAAAGTTCCGCTGCTCTCTCTCCCTCCCCCGACAGCAGGAGCGAGCACAGATGGACGCTAACTCACAATCGCGCAAGCGCGCATACGCCATGTGGCCCGGCGGCAGCGAGTGACGCGGGGGGTGACAGCCCGCTGGGGGGGGAGCAGGGAAGAGGGCCCGGTTGGGAGGATGATGCAGGGGATAGGGGCCGGGGGTCCATGGGTGGGAGGGTCCCTAGGGGAGGGCGAGGTTCAGGGTAAGCAGTCCCCCACGGATTCACTGTGACTCCAGATGATCACAGAGACTGCCGCAGTCTGTACGTGACTCAGGTCCATCCAGGACAATAAGCAAATGCAGGCAGCTTTCGATTGACATACATAATCGTTACACAAACCCTTTACATAAGTCAAATTTTATGTAAGCCAGAATTAACCTGCCCATGCAATTCAAGACACCTTACAGCGAAAAAAACACAGAAGTCAAGTATATACTCATAACACACAGTACTGAACACATAAAATAAATCAAATTATAAAGTAAATGTTCTTATGTCGCCTTTTTGCATTAGCACTTCTGTAACTTCTGTGTATCGCGGATGTTCTTGCATAAGTGCCAATTTACTTTATCAGTTGAGAACTATGTAGAGCAGGTGAGACCCACAAAAGTTAGCCTGCGGCGATTCTAGGATACGACCCTTAGGGAGCTCAGCCCGCTGATGGACTATGGGACGCCCCCCCACCATAAAATTTTAGCAGCAAGGGTGGGGGTGCCTGACGATAAATTTTCCTGAGCTGGGATACTATGAAAAATACGGGACAAATCGCTAAATGGTTTGAGTAAAATTATTTTTAGAGGGGCTGACACCTGAGAGCCACCTTTTTTAATAATGCTCAATAAGAACAGCGTTGGATACAGGAGAGGAGTATTCAGGAGTGTAGATGTGCGCGCGGCCCGGCGAGGCGGCGTCAACGGCAGCAAGGCCAGCGACTCGGCTTAGGCGGAGCTGTGATTGGTGAGATATTCTCTAAGGAGGCCCGTGATGACGAATCAGGCGGGGCCTGGACAGCGGCTGCCTGCGAGCACTCGCGGCCGCCCAGGAAGTGCCTCGTCCAGAGGTATTAGTGACGGCCCCTCCAAAGGGGA